GTCCGCCTTCCCCGTTGTCTCCCATTGTGTCTCTTTTTGGTTCCTTTTGTTGGATGGTGGGTTTTTTCCGAGGCCTTGTCCCCTTTGTTTCCCAGCTTGTGTCGCAGCTTGTTTCTCAGCTTGTCTCCCCGGTTGTCTCCCAGCTTCTCTCCCTTCTTGTTTCCCTTTGTTGGATTGCGTGTCCGCATTCCCAAGGCCTTGTCTGCCTTGTCTCCCTCCTGTCTCAGAGCTTGTCTTCCTTCTTGTTTTCCTTCCAAGGCCTTGTGTCGCTGATTTCCCAGCTTGTCGCCCAAGTTGTGTCTTTTTTTTGTTTCCGTTTGTGGCAAGTGGTCTCATTTTGCATTTTAGTTGATGCTTTGGAAATATTGAATGCACACTTCTAGCGTGAAGTTGCTCGCCCGCTTGGAAGCTGTGGGCTCGGGAGTTGAGAATGATAACATCTTTCACTTTCATCCTCCGATGTTTTCATTATATCCAATTTGACACTCCTATGCTGCTTGATTCGAGTGTTTGGATCCAAATACTCTTGCACCTCCATCGGATGTTTCCTTCATCGTTTTTCGTCATCAAGCTTTGCGATAAAGCGAGCGAAGCCGAAAAAACTAAATGTGAAGTGGTCTCCGGCACTTATTGTAAACATTTTCACGAGTCCTGTCGCTGCTATTTCATGTGTTTGACCCTGTTCCTCAAAACACTTCTTGAATTCACCCACTATTTGGGGTCTACGGTGGTGTAATGTTGCACCTTGTTACTTGCTGGAAGGAGTTGACATAATGGGCTGTAAATTTCGCATAGTTGTTCATGTTGTTCGCCTTGGTTGAACGGTTAGTTCCCACAGCGCACCATCCTCTGCATGTGTGGCAATGGGGATTTGGGGGGGCCTGCCACTTTTCAGGCGGCGCTGAGATGACGTGGCTCAATGTGCCGGGCGTGGCAGGAGGGGAAGAGATTGGGAGAAGGGACCATCAGCAGTGGTGTTGTTTGCAACAGTAACCATTTGAGTGTCAGGCAGGTTTTTCCCGAGAGCGCCTGCGAAGGGTTCTTCGTAAAAAAGCAGCCGTTATACTAGATCTTCACACCTTCACACCTGCAGATCTAGATCTTCACACCTTCACACCTGCAGATCTAGATCTTCACACCTTCACACCTGCAGATCTAGATCTTCACACCTTCACACCTGCAGATCTAGATCTTCACACCCTCACATCTGCAGATCTAGATCTTCACACCCTCACATCTGCAGATCTAGATCTTCACACCCTCACATCTGCAGATCTAGATCTTCACACCTTCACACCTGCAGATCTAGATCTTCACATCCTCACACCTGCAGATCTAGATCTTCACACACTCACATCTGCAGATCTACATCTTCACACCTTCACACCTGCAGATCTAGATCTTCACACCCTCACACCTGCAGATCTAGATCTTCACACCCTCACATCTGCAGATCTAGATCTTCACACCCTCACACCTGCAGATCTAGATCTTCGCACCCTCACACCTGCAGATCTAGATCTTCACATCCTCACACCTGCAGCTCTAGATCTTCACACCCTCACATCTGCAGATCTACATCATCACACCCTCACACCTGCAGATCTAGATCTTCACACCCTCACACCTGCGGATCTAGATCTTCACACCTTCACATCTGCAGATCTCCTCTCGCTCTTCTTCTATTCTCTCTTAAGGCGGGGGCGGTGCCGCCGGAGCGCCACGAAACGCAACCTTTTCGCACGAAATGGACGTTGGACGTCCAAAACCTAGGTAAAATTGCGATTTTGAAGCGTCGCCGGCAACCCTTTCGCACGAAATGGACGTTGGACGTTAAAAACTGGGGAAAAATTGCAACTTTGAAGTGTCCCGCGCAACCCTTTCGCACGAAATGGACGTTGGACGCCAAAAACTGAGGTAAAATTGCGATTTTACTTTGTCCATTGCAACCCTTTCGCACGAAATGGACGTTGGACGTCAAAAACTGAGGAAAAGTTGCGACTTTGAAGCGTCCCGCGCAACCCTTTCGCACGAAATGGACGTTGGACGTCAAAAACTGAGGAAAAATTGCAACTTTGAGGTGTCGCGCGCAACCCTTTCGCACGAAATGGACGTTGGACGTCAAAAACTGCGGAAAAATTGCGACTTTGAGTTGTCAATCGCAACCCTTACGCACGAAATGGACGTTGGACGTCAAAAACTGAGGAAAAATTGCGACTTTACTTTGTCCCGCGCAACCCTTACGCACGAAATGGACGTTGGACGTCAAAAACTGAGGAAAAATTGCGACTTTGAGGTGTCAATCGCAACCCTTACACACGAAATGGAGGTTGGACGTCAAAAACTGAGGAAAATTGCGATTTTACTTGGTCAATCGCAACCCTTTCGCACGAAATGGACGTGTAAAAGCGTCTGTGTGTAAAAGCGCCTGTGTGTAAAAGCTTCTGTGTGTAAAAGCCTCTGTGTGTAAAGGATTCTGTGTGTAAAAGCTTCTGTGTGTAAAAGCGTCTGTGTGTAAAAGCGTCTGTGTGTAAAGGAGTCTGTGTGTAAAAGCGTCTGTGTGTAAAAGGGTCTGTGTGTAAAAGTGTCTGTGTGTAAAAGCGTCTGTGTGTAAAATCGTCTGTGTGTAAAAGCGTCTGTGTGTAAAAGCATCTGTGTGTAAAAGCGCCTGTGTGTAAAAGCTTCTGTGTGTAAAAGCCTCTGTGTGTAAAAGCTTCTGTGTATAAAAGCCTCTGTGTGTAAAAGCTTCTGTGTGTAAAAGCCTCTGTGTGTGAAAGTGTTGTGTGTAAAAGCGTCTGTGTGTAAAAGCGTCTGTGTGTAAAAGCGTCTGTGTGTAAAAGCGCCTGTGTGTAAAAGCTTCTGTGTGTAAAAGCCTCTGTGTGTTAAAGCTTCTGTGTGTAAAAGCCTCTGTGTGTGAAAGTGTTGTGTGTAAAAGCGTCTGTGTGTAAAAGCGTCTGTGTGTAAAAGCGTCTGTGTGTAAAAGCGTCTGTGTGTAAAAGTGTTTGTGTGTAAAAGTGTTTGTGTGTAAAATCGCCTGTGTGTAAAAGCGTCTGTGTGTAAAAGCGTCTGTGTGTAAAAGCGTCTGTGTGTAATTCTTCTGTGTGTAAACGCGTCTGTGTGTAAAGCGCCTGTGTGTAAAAGCGTCTGTGTGTAAAGCGTCTGTGTGTAAAAGCGTCTGTGTGTAAAAGCTTCTGTGTGTAAAAGCGCCTGTGTGTAATTCTTCTGTGTGTAAACGCGTCTGTGTGTA